TGGTCTTTTTAATTTTTTTTTTAAATGTTTATTCAGTTTTGAAAGACACAGAGCAAGCAGGGGTGGAGCAAAGGGAGAGGGAGACACAGAATCTGAAGCAGGCTCCAGGACCCGGACTGTCAGCACAGAGCCTGATGCAAGGCTCTAACTTGCGAACTGTGAGATCACGACCTGAGCCGATATCAGACACCCAACCGACTGAGCCACGCAGGTGCACCTTGTGCACTTTTCTTAAGTATATTTCAATAAAACCTTTGATTAACCAATGAGATATGACTTTTTTCTATGTCAGAAAATAGAAGAGATTAAGATAGAAAAATTAAAATAACTTATTAATCATTATTTCACTGATGCATTGACTTCAAGTATTTTTCTTTTTTATTGTTTATTTTTTTGAGATTGAAAGAGAGAGCAGGCACATGAGTGGGGCAGGGGGAGAGAGAGAGAGAGAGAGAGAGAGAGAGAGAGAGAGAGAAAGAGAAAGAGAGAGGGAGAGAATCCCAGGTAGGCTCCACCCTATCAGCACAGAGCCTGATAGGGCTCAAAGTCATGAACCGTGAGATCATGACCTGAGCTGAAATCAAGACTTATGACACTTAACCAACTGAGCCACCCAGGCAGCCCTCAAGTCTTTTCTTTTTTTTATAAATGTATGGTCATGCATGGAAAAGTATTCAACATTGACAGTTTCTCTAGGTTAACACAAATTATCAAAATTGTCTAAGGAAAACAAGAAAACCTGAATAGACCAAGCTTGTATAGTCCAGAAGCATGAAGCACTATATCAAGCAAAGAAACCCACAAGACTATCAGATTCACAATAATCTTTGTCAGTTTACCCCTAGATTTTCCTAACTTTTAAAGAATAGGAAGTTCTGATGCAATATGAAAAAAAAAAATCTTAGATCTTAGCAAATAAAATCTAGAGTTTTAAAACCCTGCCTATTTCTTTCTTGAACAAGCCTTTTTTTTTTTCCTAGTGATTCTTTGATGACTGCTTTTTTTTATTCCTTTTCTCTTTTTCTCATAAATAATTGCCTGCATGTTTGATTTTTCTTTTCCATATTGGTAATTTTTTTTCATCATTTCCTCATTTGTCCTGGTCCTCTGCACTCTAGGAGTGCTTATTCAGTTTGCTTTCCACAAAGCTGATTACATTATTTGTTGCCTCCAAAGGCAGATTTACTTCGTCTGTTACATTTTCTGTTTTTTCTCAGTTCTTTGCATTTCAACTTTTTCAATTTCTATGGCTTCTATTTCTAAGTCAATCAATGCATTTGTAAGGATGACAAAATTTTTTCTAAAATATTTTTTTTTCTTTTTTCTGTATTAACTCATTGTTTTACATTTGTTTTACCTCTGAGGCTTTCCATTTCTTGTGTCACATAATCACTATCCAGCTTTGTTATGGTTGTTATTGCTTGTTTCCTGACTGGAACATGTGATAAAAATCTATTGAAGGGTAGTGTTTTTCAACAAATAAGACCTAAGACTGACCCTTAGCTCTTGGTCCTACTGATAACTTAGTTTTTAGAAGAAAGCATCTACTATACTTCACTGTTGAAATGTAGATTGTGAACAACCTCAGGCCCAAATTCTAAGCAGTAGCAGGCAGTTATATAAAGCACTCCTACTAAAATGTTGATAGACCATCTTCTCTCCCAATTCTTGGTCCTCTGATCCTGATCTAATAAGTATTACACAAACACATGCACACACACAGTACTACTGTCTCTAGTCCCATTATCACTGCATGTATAATGTCTATTGGGACTATCTAACTTTCTCCTTGGATGTAAGGAGTGAGAGGGAGTAAGAGAGATAATCCTCAAATGGATAAAAAGGCACTGACTGAAGAGGAGTGAACAGGTATGACTACCTAACTTTCTCAGTGATACCATTCTTGGATCTGTGAGTCAGGGTGCAGAAAGTGAAGGGCTGGGGTGCCCGGATGGCTCAGTCAGTTAAGCGTCTGACTGTTGATCTTAGCTCAGGTCATGATCTCATGGTTCATGAGTCTGAGCCCCATGTGGGCCTCTGGGCTGATAGTGTGGATCCTGCTTGGGATTCTCTCTTTCTCTCTCTCTCTCTGCCCCTCCCTTGTTCTCACTCTCTCTGTCCCAAAATAAATAAATAAAAGCTTTAAAAAAAAGTAAGTGGAGGCCATAGAGTCTGTCTATATTATTTAAGGCCATATTTTTATTTGCTCTGCTTTAGATTGTGAATTTCTATTTAGTGATGTGGAAGTCTCTCCAGAAGATAATAACGTATTGGCTGAAAGTCCCAGTTTTGAATGTTGTCATAAATTTCCACCATCTCTACACCCTTATAGCCATTTTAAGCTCCATCAAGCACTGTTAAGTTGGTGGAACTGTAAAAGAACAAATATTTCTGACATCTTAAACTATGATAAAAAAAATCCACCAGCATCATTTGGAGAAAAATTTAATCTTCCTCTAATATTTACTCACAACCAAAGTTATTCTTGAATATCTGTACAATCCTACTTTGACACAGATGGCGCATGTAATAAAATAGCACATGTAAATATTTGGATCCATTTCAGTAGAACTGAGAAAGCCACAAAACCATCTTACAAAGTAAATTTTCATTGCTGACGCAATATGCATCTTACTGTGTACCAAAAGTGCTGCAATTTTCTTTAGTAGTTTTTGAAATGAACAAGTAACATTTATTTTCAGGCCCTTTCAATGTTGTGGTGAGATGAGTTCATTTTCATTTTGTAGCTGGCCAAGAGCCACTTTTATCTCTTAGAGTTATATAAGGTCTCTACGCTGCTTGGGAACTGATAAGGCCCAGTATTCTAAATACAACCTAATTTCTCTTTTCCAACACTAGACAGAATGAAAAAAGAAGAGACAAAAAACATATTTTGAGAAATTCTTTTAACATCACTTATTAAAAATTTTAAGTCTTGATTTATGATAGGTAAATTTAAAAGAAATCATTCCTATTAACTTCCAATTGTTTTTCCATTTTTTAATGTCAATTATTTCCTATAACTCTGTAAAGATACTTTGTCATTGTCAGTCTTCTTGCACTTGTTTCATTTGAACAATTAGGAATTTGATCTTCTTGTACCTTAGACCATAATACAGGTTTCTGGCTGTATGTTGAGGCTCTATGAAGTAACATGAAAAGGGCTGCATCTGAAAAACGAAGGTCTAGGATTGAACATTAGGTCTGCCTCATATTAGGACTATCAGTGGTGCTGTAAGGCTTGCTGTCTGGTCTACAGGCTAGTGTTAGTCTGCAAATGCTAACCGATCTGCACCACAAGGAGTATGGAAAATAGAGTATGGAGAGAAAGCATTAAAAATTTTTATACCTATTTTATAATTTTATGTCTACAGAATAATGACAATTAATAAAAATGTGGGCTTGGGTATTTTGTGTCTGCCTTTTGATCATTTTATTTCTCTAGTAATTAATGTTTGCAAAAACATTCAGTCTGCAACAGATTCAATGTTTATAGCAGCATTATCTACAATAGCCAAATTAAGGAAACAGACCAAGTGTCCATCAAATGAGGAATTGATAAAGATATTGTAGATATGCATAGATAGATATAGATACAGATACAGATATAGACATTTAGATACATACATTTAGACAGATATATAGATAGATATACAGAATATTACTCAACCATAAAGAAGAATGAAATCTTGCCGTTTGGAATGATGTGGATAGAGCTAGAGAGTCTTATGCTAAGGAAAATAAGTAAGTCAGGGAAGAACAAATACCATATAATTTCACTCATATGTAAAATTTAAGACACAAAACAAACAAACAAAGGGAAAAAAGAGAGATAGGCCAACTAAGAAACATACTCTTAAATACAGACAACAAACTGATGGTTATTAGAGGGTGGAGGCATGGATGAGATAGGTGATGAGGATTAAGGAGTGTACTTATGATGAACACTGGGTATTGTATGGAATCATAGTATTGTACACCCGAAACTAAAATTACACTGTATGTTGGCTCACTGGAATTTAAATAACAACTAAAACAACAACAACAACAACAACAAAACTGACCCTTAACCATAGAGTTTGAGAAACACTGAGCTTGTAAGACATCCAGTGAGCCAGTTAATCTCGTGGGAGGGACCTCAATTTTTCCATCTTTAAAATATATATAGTGACCCCTACTTTGTCTTCCATACAAGGTGTGCCAGTAATAAACAATTTTACTTACTCATAAATTATTTGTAAGCTATAATGTCTCTTATAAATATACAGCTATTATATTGTAAGCACTAAGCATTTGGGAGTAGCATGGCAACTCAGCTAAAAGAAGCTTGGCATTTGTTAGATAGCCAGTAAATGTTTGCTGACTTTATGAATGAATACAAGTACAGAAACTCTGGCATTAGACAGGACTGCACGCAAACAACTATCAGAGTAGTATGTGATTTAAAGACAAGTCATATAATTTTTAATAGTACAATTTCTTCATCTGTAAAATCAGAGTAATAATAGCTTCTACCCTTAAGCATTGTTGTGAGTATTCAATGAAACAATGCAGTAAAGTGGTTAGCATTTAGTACTTGGCACATGGAAAATATTCAATAAATATTAATCTTATATCTTTAAGCTCTTTTTCTATGCTAAGGAAACAAATCAATTGTTTACATGCAATTTCTTATGTAGTTCTTAGGAAAACATAAGATAACTGCCATAATCTCCATTTTCAAACAAGGAAAATAAGACTCAAAGAAGTAAGCAACTGCCACAAAGTCATGAAACTACTATAATACCATGTCTGTCTGTAACAAAATGTGTGCCTATTCCTGCAGAATACCATCTCCCTAAGGTCTTTGAAGTAAATAAAGAGAATGAATGTCACAGTCTCCTTTTAGATGCATTCTTATTTTTGCTTGTGAACTATGTGGGATTTTTACATGAAAAACAATATTGGCAGATGTAATGACACAAAGTAAAAGATACCCAGGCATCACTTTTGCCACTTACCAGGCTGATTTGTTGGGCTCCTCATGCTGACAGTGGCCGCTCTCCATGTTCTTCTCTGACCTGCTTCGCATGACTCTATTTCTAGGTTATCAAAAAATAAGTAAATAAAACATGTTAAAAAATGATACTTGATTCTAGAAGGATCTTCATATATTAATGACCACAACAATAACAATTCAAATTTGCATAGCACCTGTTTTATAAAGCTTTTAAAGAACCACAATAGGGATTAATCCACTTCACATATTTAGGGTCTTGCATCTTGAAAGGAAGTACATTGTCATCTTTATCTTGGAATTCTCAGAACGTGAGGAAGTATCTACCACCCAGGTATTCGTTAAATTACTTCCTTTTTTATTAAATAGATAAATGGATGAAACTCATGTTCAAATACACTGATATAGCTGAAGACTTCAGTCTTTCACTCCAGAAGGCAAAATGTTATTGTGTTATAATTTTTTACAATGTAGACCTGAAGGAGCAAGTATTTTTACCTTGTCAATCAACCTGCCATTGGAAAGGTTAATTTGACAATGAAGTCAACATGCAAATCTCAGATTATTCCTCATGGTTTCAGTAGTTATCATCGGAGGAATCTCATAATCTGTTATCAAAAACAGTTATGGTTTAGCAGCTCTTGGGTGACTTGGTCGGTTAAGCATCCGAGTTCAGCTCAAGTCATGATCTCGTGGTTCGTGGGTTCGGGCAGGTGTAGGGCTCTCTGCTGTCAGCACATAGCCTAGAGCCTCCTTCAGATCCTCTGTCTCCCTCTCTCTCTGCTCATCCCTTTCTAGCTTTCTCTCTCTCTTTCTCTTAAAAATAAATAAACATTAAAAAATAGTTATGGTCAGGGCGCCTGGGTGGCTCAGCCGGTTGGGCATCTGACTTCAGCTCAGTTCATGATCTCACAGTTGAGTTCGAGCCGCGCGTCGTGCTCTGTGCTGACAGCCCAGAGCATGGAGCCTGCTTCAGATTCTGTGTCTCCCTCTCTCTCTGCCCCTTCCCAGTTCGTGCTCTGTCTCTCTCTGCCTCAAAATAAATAGACATTAAAAAAAATAGTTATGGTCTATTTATGCAGGAAATTTCAATACAATCAATTAAAAGCTAGAATCTAGTTTTGAAATAATTGTAAAGTCAAAAACGGGAAATGAAATGTTATTTTTAGAATTAGAATCGGGCTTTTCATTGTCTTGATGAGTCTTCTGCTATTTCCCAACTCTGTGTCAACTCTCATCCACAACACACAAAAAGAGAGAAGGGTAAAGGAGAGAGGTATGTTTACTAAGAAAACAGTAAAAGCTATCCCCGGATATTTCTTATTAACTCAAAGTATAATGAGGTAAAAAGTTCTTTTTTTCCACCTTTATTAATTGAGATACACTTGACATATAACACTGTAAATTTAAGGTGTACAACACTTTGATTTGATAGTAATGCTTTCTTAAAAGAATTGGGATGTCAGTCACTTTCCTTCAAACTCAAACTTGTATGTCAGCTTTTCTACTTGACATTACTGTTAGTGTGAGCACTCACAATAGTGATAATTATTATTTTGTTGCTTACAGTATATCAGGAACTGCTCTTATCATTTTATAGGAATTATTTAATTTAATGTTTACAATAAGTCAGTAAGGTAGATATTATTAACCTCCCTATATTTACAGATAGGAAAACAGAAACCTAGTTTAAATTATTCAAGATCCACTGCTGTTAACAATTAGGGTGGGATTTGAACCTTTCCCAGAGCCCATTATCTTAATCTCCAAGGTATCTACTACCTTTTAAATTTACTTCAAACTGGAACTCTTAAATTTCCTCATGTACCTTCCTAGGTCGTCCCTACTTCCTAGGAAATTAACACATACGCTTTGTACTTAAGTCAGAAACACGAAGATCTTTTTGAAATAACTTCCTTTTCCATGGTAATTGCAAACCCTACATATAGCCAGAATCCATACAGCTCTCTCCTCTCACCAGTTGAAGCCACCATAATCGATCATCTACAACACTGCAAAGCCTTGTACCTGTTCTCACTGATCCCACTTATGACCCCTTTACAATCCACTTCTCACACTCCAGCCAGAGTAGACTTGATGGAATAAACCACAATTTTACCACTTGGCTTAAAATTCTTCAGTGGCTTTGTATTGTACGTGGAATAAAACCCAATTATCTTCGCATGGCCTATGAGCTCTGACATGAACAGGCCACAGTCTATGCCTCGAATATCATACAGTTGTTCTCTCATTTTGGCAGGCTTCTGCATGTTCTTCTCATAAATAAACTCTGGTTTCAGTACCTAAGGACTCTGCTTTTCCCTGGAATGCTCTGCAATTGGAACCTTTTTATGCCTTAGACCTCAGTTCAAGTCACTCTCTCAAAGAGGTGTTTCCTGAACCCCCAACGTGTTCTCCTTCTATCACAACCTATAATCGTTCTTTTCATTCGTTTGTCTGTAATCTCTTTTCCTCACTGGAATGCGGAATCCATGTGAACAGGATTACAGCTTCAACTAGGTAGCACCAAAAAATTTCTGCTTAATGAATGTATGGATAAATGGATACATGTTAAAGTATATTCGAACTAATTATTCTTCATTATTTTTATTCATTCCTGAAAGGAAGACCAAGGAATCATTTAAAGAATTAGCGCCTCGGTAGCTCAGTTAAGCATTCGACTCTTGGTTTCAGGTCAGGTCATGATTTCACATTTCTTGAGATGGAGCCCCACTTCGGGCTCTGAGCTCATAGTGCAGAGCCTGCTTGGGATCTCTCTCCCTCTCTCTCTCTGCCCCTTCCCAGCTTGTGCTGTCTCTGTCTTTCTCAAATAAATAAACAACACAGTAATAATTAGAAAAAAAGAATTAATAAATAGAAAATCATAAAAACTAATTATTAATATTTTTCATATATATCTGCTCTTTTGAAATATTAAAACAACTCCCATTTTAAAATGAAATACATTGGGGCGCCAGGGTGATTCAAGATGTTAAGCGTCCAACTTTGGCTCAGGTCCTGATCTCCCGGTTTGTGAGTTCAGCCCGGCATCGGGCTCTGTGTTGACAGCTCAGAGCCTGAAGCATCCTTCAGAATCTGTGTCTCTCTCTCTCTGCCCCTCCCCTGCTTGCACTCCATCTCTTCCTCTCTCTCAAAAATAAATAAACATTAACAAAATAAAGATAAAATAAATTTATTTATGTTTTTTCCTTAACAAGTAAAGACTATAACTGTATGCATTAGTTTATATTTTTTCTAAAAGTGTCCTCACTGGGGCTGCCTGCGTGACTCAGTCGCTTAAGCATCTGACTTTGGCTCAGGTCATAATCTCACAGTTCATGAGTTCAAAGCCCGCGTTGGGCTCTGTGCTGACAGCTCAGAGCCTGGAGCCTGCTTCACATTCTGTGTCTCCCTCTTTCTGTCCCTCCCTGGCTCAGGCTCAGCTCTCTCTCAAAAATAAATAAAACATTAAAAAAATTTACTTAAAGATGTGATTAGTTTAACTAGCAACTCTTTTTTGTTTTCCCCTATCTGAACCATTCTGCAAAAATATGGGCAACCCCACGAGACTTTATTTCTCTTTCCTCCCTCTTTGGTTTGGTTTTGTTTAAATCATTGCTTCTCAAATTTAAAGGCATATGAGTGATATATGTACATTAATCAAATCGTGATATCTGATTCAGTGAATCTAGGGCAAGGCTCAAGCATCTGTATTTATCACAAGCATAAGTTACACTGATGGTGCTGACCCATTGACCACACTTCGAGTAACAAGAATTCAGAATACAGTTAGCAGTTCCAGGTGATTTCAAAATAGTACTTTAATCTTTCATTATGGTGTGTGTGTATGTGTGTTTTCCATTTGCAAAATGGTATTATGACCATAACTAATAATCCTTTTTCCACTTATAGTCCCTTTTTCAAAAAAGTGCCATTACTATGAGATAAACAACACTAAATAAGCAGTTAGAAAACTGTACATACTTCTGTTCTTATTTATAATTTATCAATAATCCCAAATATTTTCCTTGCTTTGAAAATAAGTGTGTGTCTGCACCAATTTGCATTCCCACCAACAGTGCAAGAGGGTTCCCGTTTCTCCACATCCTCTCCAGCATCTATAGTCTCCTGATTTGTTCATTTTGGCCACTCTGACTGGCGTGAGGTGATATCTGAGTGTGGTTTTGATTTGTATTTCCCTGATAAGGAGCGACGCTGAACATCTTTTCATGTGCCTGTTGGCCATCCGGATGTCTTCTTTAGAGAAGTGTCTATTCATGTTTTCTGCCCATTTCTTCACTGGGTTATTTGCTTTTCGGGTGTGGAGTTTGGTGAGCTCTTTGTAGATTTTGGATACTAGCCCTTTGTCCGATATGTCATTTGCAAATATCTTTTCCCATTCCGTTGGTTGCCTTTTCGTTTTGTTGGTTGTTTCCTTTGCTGTGCAGAAGCTTTT